CTTGATGATAATTGTGTGGCTAAAGAACTTGAGCTGTGTTGGGTGGTGGTACATGCCTTTAATCCCAGCACTCGAGAGGCAGAGGCAGAGGCAGGTGGATCTCTGTGATTCTGAGGCCAGCCTGGTCTACAGAGTGAGTTGTTCCAGGACAGCCAGGGCTAAACAAACAAACAAACAAACAAACAAACAAACAAAAACAGAACTTGAGCTGCTGCTGCTAATTATAGCAGGGCAGAGCACCAACCATTGAGAGAGACAGAGAGAGAGTGAGCAAGCAAGAGCGTGTGTGTGTGTGTGTGTGTGTGTGTGTGTGTGTGTGTGTGTGTGTGTGCGCCCTAATCTTTTGTCTCATCACCAAACAACAGCCATTCTTGACATCCCTCCTATTAATCTTCTAAACATCTTCTCAGTTAAACTAGTCTGTAAGTTCTGCTATAAGCTGCAAAAATACAGTGTTTGCATGTGGATGCATACCCTTATTCCTAACCATGCAGTGGAGTCTGTTCTGGCAGTTCACTCTGCTTCAGCCTCAGCTCTTATTTTGAAGGGATCCTGGCATGGCTAGGTATGTCCACTGCCTGACAGTCACAATCAGCTCTGTTATACCTGGGCTCTGTATATGGGATTAGAGTGTTGATAAGAGAAAACAATGTGTTGTAGCCATTGACAAGTGTGTTTGTATCCCAAGTTTATTATTATTTAGGGTGTGGTTCAGTCATTACATATATGGTTAACGTGCATGAGGCCCTACATTCAGTCTCTGGCATCATAAAAAATAGCATATAGAGGGAAGAGAGTTATCCAGGAATTTCTATAGCCATTCATTTCTGGCTTTATAGAAATGATTAAAATTAACAGCAACAACAAAAACCCAAGCATGTATTGTTTTTGTTTTAGTCTTTCAAGACAGAGTTCCTTTTTTGTAGCCCTGGATGTCCTGGAACTCACTCTGTAGACCAGACTGGCCTTGAACTCATAGAGATCCGCCTGCCTCTGCCTCCTGAGTGCTGGGATTAAAGGCGTGTGCCACCACTGCCCAGCTTCACGTGTTGTTTTAACATGCAGTTGCTGACTTTTTGTGGTCACACAGGCACAGGTATTACTGGGAGTTGGTGGCCCTCAGTTTTCATTTTAATAAATGCAGCAGCATTTGTATTCTGGCAGATTCCTCTGGTTAGAAGAAAGTCATTTCTTCACTCCCCCACCCCTTTAAAGCTTTTTTTTTAAACACCTAATGCTTTGAGTAAGAGATCTTGAACTATTATCACATTCAGACTGCTTTGTATCTGTTAATTAATTGATACAGACTTTTACAGACCTTTAGTATTCATTGCAGTAAGAATGTGAGGACATCTTGGCCTTTCCAAAAATAGTTTCACATTACTTTTCATTTTGAAGCTGATGGTTTTAAAAATCAGCTTTGACATTCATCAGTGGATGGTAAAACTATCAGTCATGTTTTACATTTTGTTCTTTTTTACTTTTAAGGAAAAGTCAGCAAGTCAGTGTGAGGCCTTGGATTTAGGGTGCTCACCCATAAATGGCCATGCTTCTACTATCACCAGTTAGGGTATCAGAGAGAGCAATTGCTGTGCACTCAGCCTCCAGCCCTTTAGTTGGGCATTACTGATGTGTTCCTAGAAATAGTGTTTATAATCACTGGCATAGCCAGCAATAAGCCAAGTACTTAACAGTGTGTATGCCATTATAACAAAATTCTTTATTAGTAAAACTTGTGAACAATGAAGATCTGTGCCTGGAAGTGTGGCTCAGCTGTAGGGCACCTGCCTAGCCTTTTTGGTGCCCTGGGTTTGATTCCTAGCACCACAAAGTAGAAAAAATCAAAAGGAACTTTTGTCACAATGTCTTTCAGAAGCTCTCAGAGATTAAGAGTGTAATCCTTTAGGTTCGACAAGATCATGCACTGTTTTACTCTGCTGAGGCCTAAGTCTGTTCTGTGGTTCAAAGCCCCACTGCTGGTTACTGTTAGTTATAGGTCCTTTTCAGAATTCCCATTAAATTATATAATAGAATGAGATATCAGTGATTATTCTAATATACAATTGTTGATCTGTGCAAATTTTTACTGTATCATAAAAATAAATTTGTATTGATTACATGATTTGAGTCATACCTTGACTAAAGAAATCAATATTGTGATATAGTCAAGAATATAACGGGAAATTCACGGAGTCTGTTTAAAGGGCAAAAGAATTTGTTAAGGGGGAAAACTCACTGTACAGAACAGAATTGACACAGGTTCTGGAACGCTATTCCAGCCGCTTGAATCAGTCCTGCAGCCAGTCCCATAAGGGAGCCAAGAGAGCGATGCCTATGTGCTCACCAAGAGGCCATGCCCCAGGGGCATGTACTTCAAGGTCATAGGCAGAACAGCTATAACACAGGATGTTTTTAAGTTTTAATTTTATGTATATGTCTGTGTGATGGAGTATGTGCACATGAATGCAGGTGCCTAGACAGTCTAGAAAAGAGCATCAGATCCCTTGGAGGTGAATTACAGGTGGCTGTGAGTTGCTTGATGTGGGTGCTGAGAACTGAATCCAGGTCCACAAAGGAGTTAAGAACAGTGTGTGCTCTTAACTACTGAGCTCTCTATCCAGTCCCTCCCTATGTTTTAAGTTAGCAAAAGCCATTTGAAAATAGTTTACACACATAGGGTTTATTGCCCTGACTATATTATTTCCAACATGTTTCCTGGCAGTTCCAGGCTTGTGCTTTGAGGGCTGCTTATATGAAGTGGAAGCAGGGATGTGTTAGTTAGCTTTTGTCATGGACAGAATACCTGAGGTAAACAACTTACAAGTGTAGAACTTTATTTTGACTCACAATTTTAGAGGTTTCAGCTGGTGGTTGGTTTACCCCATTTTCTTTTGGTCTGTAGCAGCATAGTACATCATAGCAGGAATGTGTGATAGAAGAGGCTTGTTCACTTTACAGCAGCCTGGAAACAGAGTAAGACAGGAGGTGGTCAGGGTCCTAAGATCTCTGTCAGGGGCACATCCCTCAGTTACCTGCCTTCCTTTAATAGGTCCCACATACTAGAGGCTCCAGGACAAATGAACTGAGTTCACTTAGCACGTGGGCTTTAGGGGGCGTTCAAGGGTCAAGCTCTATCAGGTGATTGTGAAGCAAGGGTGCATTAGGGTCCGGACAATCAGATTCTGTTAGCAAGGCTGCCAGGCGGGAATAGCTGGAGCATCTACCCAGTGTCTGCTATAGGCAAAATTTCCCATGGAATGCCAAGTTCTGACTTCGATTTTTTCTGTGTCTTACTTAGAGACTGTAGACTAAAGAGTGGAGGTTTTAAAAAGTGGAGGTTGAATTATAACACAATGAATCTGCCTAATATTTGCTGACTGCATTATTTGCCCACACATCAGCATTCTCTGTGATTAAACTTATTGAGTCACAAGACTGCTTGCATTAATTGTTTTATCGATCATCACTTCAGTAGGACAAACATGAAAAAAAAAAAAGAAACACCTAATGTTCAGATAACAGAAGAAAAGGCTGAGTGGGTAGAAAAGTAAATCCATTCATGAAGGGTTCAGATTAAAGAGAAATAGATTTGACCGGGGAATTTTATTTGTCTTAGCAGTTTACACTTAGCTACATTCAGTGCAGTACTTTTCTTAGTATTATCACAAAACTGGTTATTACAGTAAGTCCCCCTTTATCTGCAGGACATATGCCCATAGACCTCCAGGGGATGCCTGAAAACCATAG